TTTTATTTTGGCAAATTGCACAGTTTATCAAGGAATCCCATATTAATAACGGCACAGAGATGCATTTGCTACCAAGAAAAGAAGGAAATAGCCATGTTGACACAGAGTAGATTAGAGCTTCTGTAATTTGGCTCAGGTACTTAGGAAAAGAGAATCTTTGTATAAAACAGTGCACATTGCATCTGTTTACATTAGATCATCAACAGAATGTTACCAAGCACTGTATTTCTGTATCTGCAAGTGCCAAAAGTTAAAACCAGCTCTGTGATTAGAAAGACTACAACTTGACTAAATACATCAAATAATTATATTTCAGACATAAGACTTCTCTGCGTATGTTTTGAGATCTTCCCCCTTTTCAAGGTTTCACCAAAACCAGTTTTTAATCTCTAAACTTATGACCTCTGCTTGGTTTATTGAGTGTTTAAGTTTAACAGTCATTCCTTGCAAAGGTGATAGCTGTTTCTTTTATATGAGCTGTTCAGATCAAGTTAATGTTTAACTATTTTATATGTACATTATTTCATTTTTCTTTCATACCATCTCATGAAAATGGCCTTGAAATGTTATCCAATGTAAATATGTGTTTAGGAGTATAAAAACAAGGTGTGCTTTAGTTGAGTTGAGTTGAGTTGTGCTTTCTGTTTTTTTTTAATTGACTTGTATTTGTGTTTTTGTCACTGCCCAGAATGTGTTAACTTCTGAAGGTTTATTGAATCTTCCATATATGAAACATAATATGTTTATTTTATTGTAGAAAACACTGCAGAAGAATATTCTAATAGTATTTAAAAAAGCATGATTAATTTGGAATAAAGATTTGCAAAGTTCAACTTTCTTTATCAGATGCTTCTGGAATCCTAAAGTTTAAACTATATAATAAGACTTCCTAGTCTTAATGGTGTTGTTTTTCTTGTAATAAATTAAGGCATCTTTCCCCCATAATTCTTGTAATAGTTGCTAACTATAAAAATACTTGATATTTCACAGCAATTAAACATTTCTTTTTTATGACTTTCACTATTTTGCCTACTAAAAAATGAGTAAGAAATCAATTCCATATATTTTTGGTTAAGATCATATGTAATCTGGATGTCTGCCGTACTTACACTATAAGGGCAAAAGTAAAATAAAGACATTGCTATTTATAAAATAGTTCATCTGAAAAGTGATAATCATTCATTTTAGATCCTTTCATTAGTGTTTTTGTCATCTAATCCAAAAAAACAGTAATGGAGATTTGGCCACATCTTTGCTGGAGGAACACAATAAATGGGCCACAGTATGTTACTACATGCGAAAGGATGTACTAATGGTTACATCTTACTAAACGGTTGATAAAATGGAGAGAATATAACCACCAGACAGATAATGTAAAGCCCTTACTTTAGATAACACAGATAGTTTGTAGTTTATAGTTACTGTGTTTTTTTTTTTAAAAATAATAGTTAGGCTGTAGTAGAATTATTCAAGGCAAAATATTTTTATCTTTTGTTGTTGTTTTGTTTTTCATATGTTTGTATGTAGGTTTCGTTTTAATCTGTCTAATTTTTTTAACAAACAATATATAAACAAATTAATGTTTTTGTTATGTTTGAAGCAATTTAATTTACAATAGGATGGTGACTTAAATTAGCAATACAAATTACATATTCGGTTTTGTGGAAAACATTGCCCAGATAATTGGTTCAAACTGTATGCTGATTATCGGATGGGAAAATCAACAATTTAAATGCAGTTCATAATTCAGACAGTCAATTGTCCTACTGGAACATATTCTTCAATATATCATTTCAATATATATTAATTGATTTTCCTTGTAGTGTTTTCATGTTAATATTGTTTTACTGAACTTGCAGTAGAAAATTATTCTACTACTATAAAGGTAGTATGTGACCTTGAGACTTATTTTGACCTGAGCCAAATGACATAACTTATTCTAGACCAGGCTTCTTAAACTATGGGCTCTCCAGACTGGCCCTCTATCCCAGGATCTGATCCTAGGTTTTCTGTTTATCCCAGATAATCTGGCAGTGCGGACTCATATAATCCAGTTTAAAGCAGAAACCTGGGATCGGGTCCTGGGATATAGGGACTGTCTGGAAGGGTCCTTATATCCACTAGTGGTCCCTTTCTGCTCAAGAATGTTTATGCAACCCTTATTTTCTTATGGCAGCCTCATTTGGGGTCCCAACCCACAGTTTAAGAAGCTTTGTTTCCTGATTTGAATTTCAACATCACTAGTAATGTATGGGTGTATAGTGTAACGTAGAAGGTTCTAGCTGCTCTATCACACAACTCACAAAAGATTTGTTTGATGATGGCCAAAATGTTTCAGCTTTGTTTATATGAAATAAAGAAAACAAACCATTTGACCAGGGTAACTGATATGGTTCTATATCTTACAACTGTTATATAGACGTGCATCAGTTATGGATTAAGAGCAATAATGATATTGAGTTTGCTTATCAAGTTCCCAGCCCACTTTTATGGATGGCACAATCCATTTATTTATTTATTTATTTATTTACTGTATTGTACCCCACTCTACCGCAATCCTGAAGGGGACTCAGAGCAGCTTCCAAATTGGCAATAATTCAATGCCACATTAAAATATTAAAACAAACTAAATACAAAATACATTATGGATTAACATCAAAACAATAACATATAAATACACTTGCAGCTTGTGACCTACATACAAGGAAGTAGGGAACATAAAAAACGTATTATTATAGTGCTCTTTCTTAGTTTCATTATAGCTCCAAGGTTGCCTGAAGTTCAGGATTTAAGGGTCTGAAGCGCAACATTACTGCACATTCCTTTTAATAAATTCATTCCTTGATAGTTAAAATGAATGCTTTTCTTCTCTTTTCTTGAAATATGGGGACATAAAGTGATTACTGTCATTTCCATTATTTGGAAATGGATCAAGGGAAGTTACTATCATGTAGTGACCAAAAAGAGCTAAAGCAGAGATTTTAGTTTGTGATCTTCGAGCATTGCAAAACTTGTGTGTTCATCATATGCAATTCATAGCATTAGTTTACCAGCCTGTAAGTATACTTTAATTTTTACAGAATTGTATCTGTAGTTATTTGGTTAATACAACTGTGGAATTCAGGTTTGAATTATTATATTAATCAACATTTTTGACTCATCTAATAAAATTTTAACTGGATTGTATTTGGATGGATAGAATGGGAGTGTAAGGGGCACAATTGTCTGTATTGTGTCTGCTGTTTGTAATGTAACATAACAGTAGGCATTTCTCTGAATAAAAAATGTAAAAATATACATTATGATCCTTGGAGATTTTTTCTCCACATGTGTAATGCTTTTTAATGTAGAATAAGAAACATAAATATGACATAACTTGTGATAAATTATTTTAGCTCATTAGTTACTACTTTTCTTAACTGTGCAGTTTGTATTAGACAAGGTATCAAAAGGAAAATAATCAAAATGTTATTTAATAGTATTGATATATAGATTGTTTAAGCTTTATAAAGGGTAGAACATTGAAACTGTGCAACCAGATATTGAATATCTAAATGGAAAATTAATGTGTAATCTTTGGCACTTGCTTGAAGAAAAAAAGGTAGTTTAGGATCCACTTTTGGTATCTGTTTTGTGATCATGGTCGGAATCAGCAGTTCATGATATGTTCTTTTAGCTGAATACAGTTGCATAATTCTATATAAGGTCTATGCAGAGTCTGCTTTATTTCATATATTATTTCAGGGCTAACACAATCTGACCACCCTTTATTAAATCATATACAATTATACATGTATACATATGGCATGATGTGTGATGCAATAAATTCTCTATTAGAAGTGCAATGCATTGTTACATTTTGTGATTTTAAGTGCAAACGAATATCTAAAAGATCTAATGTAGAGTGGAATGAATCAATTATGTTCAACCAAACTCCAGTTTCCTGGAGGCATTCAGAATTGATTCATACTCCAGTTTTGGCAGTGGTAATAGACACCTCCTTTGTACAGACTTTGGACCAGAAAAAAACCCCTGCTGTGATGTGGAAACTGATTAATTTCTTTATCATGTCAGAAGCGAATTGAAAATACAGTTATAATGTATAAAAAAACACACAAACATAGTTAAAAACCAGAGTTTTTAAAAAATCCACTTGGCATTATACTAAATTTCCTTTGACCACAAGCTGGCCACTTCTGGTATCGCTGCAAGAAGGTCCTCCATTGTGCATGTGATGGGGTTCAGACTGCATTGTAGTAAGTGTGGAAATGGAGGGGCATGATATGATAGAAAAAAAGCCCAGGAATCAAGGGCAGTTTTAGTAAGGAAGGTCTCACTTTATCACCCCTTCTTAGCTTTTACCAATCCAAGCAAGCAGCCAGTGAGGTTTTTGACATGGAAGGCTGATACATTTTTTAAAAAAGAATGCACCTGCAACCTACCAGGAGACAGAAACTCTCTGGCTTGTTTTTGAAGTGTATTTTCTTCACCAGAGCCTAGTGATCCCAGAATTCTGCACTGTCTTATTATCTGCAGACAGATAAAGAGGTTGTACTTGACAACAGAGAAGGGCATCAGAAGAAAGGAGTATGCTAAAGTTGGATGTATAATTACCTAAGCATATTCTTGTTTTGATATTTCTACTAAAACAGTTCAGATACTATCTTGATATAGTTTTATATGTCAGATTCTTTACATTGTTGTTGGGAAGCATTTTAAGAGGGGTAATATAGGGCAGTGGTTTGACTGTTAGACTCCAGTTTTGGAGATGAGAGTTCAAAAACCACTGGATGATCTTGGACAAGTTGCAAACTCTCACAGGCAAAAGTCATCTGAACAAATATTATGAAGAAAACTCCATGATAAATTCACCTTAAGTTTACTCTAACTTGGACATAACTTGAAGGCATGCAACAAGAACCAAGTTTTCTTTTTTAAAAACTGCTCTCTGAAAAACATTTTGGTTGTGTTGAAATAATTGTTGTTTTTTGTCATTTCAGCTATGAAGTCTTACATTCCATTTTTCATTCTTCTGTGGAGTGCTTTTGGAATTTCAAGGGCTGCCAAAATTATTGTTGTGCCGCCAATTATGTTTGAAAGCCATCTGTATATTTTCAAGACCTTGGCCTCAGCCTTGCACGAACAAGGCCACCAGACAGTTTTTCTCCTGTCCGAGGGTAGAGAGATCCCTCCATCTAATCACTACAGACTACAGCGTTACCCAGGGATCTTTAATACTACCACATCAGATGAGTTTCTTCAGTCCAAAATGAGGAGTATCTTTTCTGGGAGGCTAACGGCCCTTGAACTGTTTGACATTCTGGATCACTATTCCAAGAACTGTGACATGATTGTGGGCAATAAGAAGCTGCTGCAGGCCCTGAAGCAAGAAAAGTTTGACCTGCTGCTAGTGGATCCTAATGAGATGTGTGGATTTGTAATTGCTCATCTTTTAGGGATTAAGTATGCTGTGTTTTCCACTGGTCTTTGGTATCCGGCAGAAGTAGGAGCTCCAGCACCTTTAGCGTATGTTCCAGAATTTAATTCACTTCTCACAGATCACATGAACTTGCTAGAGAGGCTTAAAAACACTATTGTTTATCTGGTTTCAAGATTTGGAGTCAGCTTTTTGGTTCTGCCAAAATATGAAAGGATAATGCAGAAGTACAATGTACAACCAGCAAAATCCATGTATGAATTGGTTCATGATTCCAGCCTCTGGATGCTGTGTACTGATGTAGCATTAGAGTTTCCAAGACCTACGTTACCAAATGTTGTTTATGTGGGAGGAATTCTTACCAAACCAGCCAGTCCTCTACCAGAAGTAAGGTTTGCTGAATTTTACTTTTATATTTGGTTTTTATATTACTTCTTTATACTCAAGTGTTTTTAAATATTGTGATCTTACTGATTCACTTTTGTGATTTTGTTAATACACTTTTGCTCTGATACATGCCAGTGTTCATTGGACTAGACACATGTTTCAGTTGTTACAAAGGAATGAATTTGAATCTCACAAAAATGCTTACAACCAAATAAAAGTATTAATTACGAGGCTGAAATAAGATGCATTGCATTTTATATCATGAATCCTTAAACACAGCTTATTATCCCCCAAATAATTGAGATTTCTTTAATTTATTTATTGTGTAGTTTATGAAGAAAGGCAGGTTTTTTTCTTCAATATTCCAAATGTAGTTTCAGTAATATCATGGGACAGTTTCATATTCTCCGGTGGTCTTTTCAGTGAATGCAGCTACATTCAGCAGTTATGATGACTCTTGTAGTACCTGTCATTTTTTTTTACTTTAACTTGAGTTTTATGGATTAAAATCTACTTGAATATCATGTGCCATTATTCTGACAAACTGGATTGTAATCCACAAATGTGCTTGCTGAAATAGATCACTTAAAGTGCCCTATACTTCTTCTTTTTTTACTGAAACAGACTAGGATATTTACTTCTTAAAATAAGATATTCATAGTTCTTGTGTTTTCATTGTAAGGTTGGATTAGATCACTGTTCACGGATGCTTCTGCAGAGATTTTAATTAATCCTTCCTGCAAAACTGTTGAGGAAGTCAGAGGATCTTTTGGAGCAACGGGATACATGGGACAAATGAAACGATGAATCACTGAAAATTGTTTCAACACTTTTTGTTGAAGCTTCCATAAAATCTCAGTTCCAAAACGTTTATTGTTTTATGGCATATATGTAAAAAGTAAAAATTTCATCCCATTCTAATATTTTCTCAGCATTGTTTTGGGTAAAGCTCTGTGGTGAAATGATATAAAGTTGCATTAATGCTATAGTTATTTCAGTTAGATCAGGGGTCCTCAAACTTTGAAAATAGAGGACCAGGTCACAATCCCTCAAACTGCTGGAGGGCCAGATTATAATTTGAAAAAAAAATTGAATGAATTCCTATGCACACTGCGCATATCTTATTTGCAGTGCAAAAACACTTAACAATACAATTTAATAATTTAAATGAAGAACAATTTTAACAAATATAAACTGATTAGTATTTCAATGGGAAGTGTGGGCCTGCTTTTGGCTGATGAGATAGGATTGTTGTTGTTGTGTGCTTTCAAGTCATTTCAGACTTAGGTTGACCCTTAGCAAGGACCGGGTAAATGACCTTGGAGGGCTGTATCCAGCCCCTGGGCCTTAGTTTGGGGACCTCTGAGTTAGATGGCTCTTTATTTTAAACTTCTAATAATTCTGTTTATTAGCGACCCATTTAGAGCATTTTTGAACAGTGAAACCAGTTCCTCTCAAGCAAGTTTCAAGCTGCATTATAGTGTCAGTAAAGATGTGCCCATAAGTCTTATCCCCTTTCGTCTTCATGTGCTAAGTGTTCTTTCTTCATGTTCTAAGTGGCTAGTGCATCCAAGGGTAAGGAGAATAGGATTTTTCCTACAACCCTTTCCACCTCCATTCCTTTTGCATGCTAAATCTTTTCTCATTAGCAACCACAGATTAGGATTGGGTTGCTGTGAGTTTTTTGGGCTGCATGGCCATGTTCCAGAAGCATTATCTCCTGACGTTTCACCCACATCTATTGCAGGCATCCTCATAGGTTGAGGGGTCTGTTCCAAACTAGGCAAGTGAGATTTATATATCTGTGGGATGTCCAGGGTGGAAGAAAGAACTCTTGTCTGCTTGAGGCAATTGGCCACCTTGATTAGCATTTAATGGCCTTGCAGTTTCAAAGCTTGGCTGGTTTCTGCCTGGGGATCCTATGTTGTGAGGTGTTAGCTGGCCCTGGTTGATTCATTCTGGAATTCCCCTGCTTTTTGAGTGTCACTCTTTATTTACTGTCCTAATTTTAGTTTTTTAATACTGGTAACCAGATTTTATTCATTTTCATGGTTTCCTCCATTTTGTTGAAATTGCCCACTTGCCTCAAGCAGACAAGGGTTTTTTCTTCCGCCCGGGACATCCCACAGATATATATAACTCATTTGCCAAGTTTCCAACAGACCCCTCAACCTCTGAGGATGTCTGCCATAGATGTGGGTGAAACGTTAGGAGAGAATGCTTCTGGAACATGACCATGGAGCCCAGAAAACTCACAGGAACCCAGTGATTCCATCCATGAAAGCCTTAGACAACACAGAGTAGGATTGTCATTCCTTGGTGAACCAAATATCTTGCTGATTTAGGAAGGTTGTCTCTGTGGCAGGGGGCAACAGTATTAGGAAGAAGTGTGGCATACTTTGTTTTCTGGAAGCAGTTTTACTTGGCAACCAGTGTAATGCTGAAGCTGTTTGATGAGTTTCAGTCCTTTTTGTTGAATATAACTATTCTGAGCCTTCAGACTTCCTTGTAATGTTACAGATACAAATTCATTACAATTATAACTTTAAAAGGAAGGAAAATAGGCATCAGAAAAAGTGTATGTCTCTGATATCTATTGTGTAATTGCAGTGATATGACCATAATAGTGAAAATGTAACAGGGCCATAGTTGTAAGGGCAGGGAGCTGGTGGTTTGAGAGTTTCTGGAGATAACAAAAAGGCAGAAGGGATTTCTTTGAATTGCATTATAAATGTACTTTGAAATCCTCTGCACAATGAGTAGCCACAAATTGCATTCATCTTCTATTCTTGCTTCTTAAGTTGGTCCATACAAAGAAACAGATTGACTAAAGGAGAGAACTAGGCAAAGGTAGAAACTTGAATTCTTTTTGATGATGGAAGGATGGTTTCTGTTTTCTTGAGGTCTTGTTCCTCTGGTGGCTTTTACATAGAGAGGAACGTGGAATTGATTTCTGAAAGTTCCATTTGATACCATTGCCTTCTTCTCAGTAGTAAATGCATCAACCTTTTTTTTTTAATTAATCACTGTAATTAAATCTGTGAAGTGTTTAGGAGGTTGGCTATTTTATACCTCTTCAGTAAAATTTACTTAAGTAATATGGTAATAGTGAGGAGACAGCTTTTCATATATATTTTTTAAATTGTGTAATATAGATTTCATTTTGAAATAATCGTGTTCTTTCTGCAGGCAGGGAAAACACTACAAAGAGTTTGGTGTAATATCCTATGCCCTTTCTTACCATTTCAATGCCAGTGGCTCTACCATGGTGCTATACATGTTGTGGTATGATTTAGTTATTATTGTAATACATGGATTTATAAATTTTGTTGATGAAATCTGTTGAACGTGTTTGTATTATATGAGGCTACAATTATTTGGAGGAAACTCTTAATTTTTTGAAAAAAGTGTGATCATATGAATATGAATCCATTTTTAGGTGATATAGTGAACCATATTTGCTGGAGGTTTGGTTTTGGTGTCTTGTGTAGATATGAAAAAAATGTGAGTGATCGTACCCCATATTATTAAAGGTTGATGATATGAACATGCACTCTTCAGCATGTCCATGTTCATGTCACAGCCATTTAATAATAGCGGGCACCATGAGCCACAGTCAATTGAATATGTGAATACAAAGCTAGGCCCACTTTATATCCCAGTGGCTCTAAGCCTGTGGGCCATGGCCCAGCAGTGGGCCGTGAGAACGAAAATCCGGTCCACGAACCTCCTTCTTCTTTATTTTATTTTAATTTATTTCACAGGGCTAACCAACCCCGTCCCTTTTGGTACTAATGTTGGAGAGTGGTCCCTGGTCAAAGTGGGCCCTGGTCAAGTGTCCTCTGGCCAAAAAAAGGTTGGGAACCACTGGTATATGCCATTGAGTATACCATTGGTAGGCCACATGCACCTCTCAGGGCTGTTCTGTGCCTATTGGTTATATCTTCTTGAAGCAAAAGCCTTTCCTGTAAACAGCCCAGACAGAGATGAAAATATGGCAAAATTGCTTGATTGCCCAAAGGTTTATATGAGAAAATTCAGATTTAAAAAGGTTCAGGCATGAGAAGATTGACAAGCTACATTGTGATCAAAGATGTGAAAACCAAACTCTGTGAGGAACAGCTTAAGGAGCTGAGTATGTTTATCCTGGAGAAAAGGAGGCCAAGAGGGGACATGTCAGCCATGTTTAAATATTTAAAAGAATCTCGCATTAAGGAGAGGGCAGGTTTGTTTTCTGCTGCCCTTGAGATTAGGATGCAGGGCAATGGATTCAAATTGAGAGGGGGAAATATTCCACCTAAACATTAGGAAGAACGTTTTGATGGTAAGATCTGTTTGGCAGTGCAATGTGATTTCTCATGTTTTCTCGGAGCATGATGGAGTCTCCACTGGATGTTTTTAAGCAGAAGCTGGATGGCCGTCTGTCAGGGGCGTTTCGATTGTGTTTTCCTGCATAGCAGGTGATTGGACTGATGGCCTGTAATTGAAACAAAACACACTCTTAGTTCAAGAGTAACGACTGCTCAAGTTTCATTTCAAATAGAAGCAAATGTTTCCAATTTCATTTTTGTGGACACAATGAAACAAAATAGGAGCAGAAGTGCATTAAACCAAGGTTCATTAGCATTGGACCATAATTTTTCTGTTTTGTCCAAACATTATTGAATATGCATTCTACCTTAAGAAAGCAAAAAGTGCCCTAATGGAGCACACAAAATAGCACTTGTCTAGTGTTCTTTGGAGAGAAAAAAACTGAGCAATACATAAAAGATGGGGTTATCCCCTGGAAATTGTCCAGCTGCCCATAGGTAGCTCATAACCAGAGCTGCTTTGGAGTCATGCCACTGGTCTAACATAGGTTTATATAGGCTGATTGCCAGTGTCTCTTCAGTGTTGTCAAATGGTCCTTTGCTGTCTTATGTGGAAGAGCCAGGCCTTGAGCTTAGGAGTTTTTGCCTGCAATACATGCTCAGCCAGTGAGCTAAAGTTATCGTACTAAT